TCGCTTGAATTTCACCGACGCGACGATACGTTTGAGTTCGCGCGGAAAAAAGAACTGTAAGTTGTGATTGGACTTGTAATCGCTTATTTTCAAAGCGGCTGATTAATGTTCGCCATGCTTGCGTAACGTTTTCATTTGTAAATGATATATTTTTTTTAATAATTGCACAAATTCACCGATTAAAATTATTTTAAGACAGCTCAATATTTACAAAAAAACGTCAACTATTTGCGTATTTTTACATGACGTGGGTTGGAAAGTTCGAACGTAGTTCAACTGGTGCAGTAGAAAATAATACGTTTTTGTTCAAATGCACAAATTAATTAATGTTTTTCAGGGTTCATCAGGATTACTAATGAAATTGAAAGCGATTACACAAATAATCTAATAACCATGTTAATTTCGTTCGCCATCAACAAGATACGATACTTAATTTAATTGATCTCATTCCATTCATTCCGCAATTTTGAACTTGAAGATAATATTCGCGATAGTTGGGAACTCATTCACAACCATCCATTCTTATTGCTAATAAGCAATAAAGAAAGTGCCAATTTGAATGGTCTGAAGAATGTGAAAAGTCATATAAGGTCATTAAGGAGAAATTGATTGCTGCACTACTTCATTGTTGCTCGTATCGATATACGTCAAGTGTAAGTCTCGGTACAGTTTTGTTACAGTTGCATAATCATAAAGCTTGAAAATAAATATTCGGCTAACGAGGAAAAGCACTTGACTGTAATTCAGGCAGTTAAGGAATTAAATTCTTATTCAGAAGGAGTTTAGCTTATTGTTGTTATCAACAGCTATTAACTCATTTGGTTTCTAAAATTAAAAATTTCTACAGCAATAACTCATTTATTGCTCGTTTATTTTGAAATTGAACATCATAAAACTAGCAGAATTATTTAAATATTCTCTCAGATAAACTGTCCCGACTTTGCTGTGGAATCATTAAAGCAGATTCTGGCCTTAACTTTTCTAAATGGTATCTGAATTTGAAAAAACTTTCTGTGCTAAATTTCCATTGTACACTACTGTTTACTTATTTTAGCTTGAAAACGTAGAATCTTCCCATTATTCCTAAAGATTTTCGGGTCACAGCTCTCATTTGACAAACTGAAATTTTCTCTATGCGCACTGGGTTAGTTAGTAAGTTTGTTTTAGTAAGTTCGTTTCCTTTATGATCTGCTACTGCTGACAAAGTTTCTCAAATATTATTAACTGAAGTTTACCTTCAGTTTGGTGATTCCAATTTCGTTGTAAACTCTTCGTTAACTAAACTCCACATAATCACTTACAACGCTAAGGTAAACGCGCTTCGTAATCAAACAAACGTTCTGCTTGGTTTTTGCTTTCTTTAATAATCTCATGCAATTCTTCGGATTTACAATAATGGATACAATTTTGAACTAATTGACAGATTTGCGATTTTGCTGACAACGTAATAGCTAAAAATGTTCGAAAGTACATGAAAAGAACCCCCAAACATGTTCCCAGTGATATGGGAGACCCTGAATGTAATGCTCATTACTTAGACGCAATGTTTGAACGTAAGTGACTACATTCGTTGCTGCAAAATTTTGACGTGTTGCAATTGGTTGGTAGATTAATATTTCCACGTAATGTATCCTTTACCTTTGGTAGTGCTTCACTTGACGTTTTACATAGTCAGCGGAATGTGATTTTGTGCAATTATTGAAAGTGATTGCACTGTTTAGAAAATTAAGACTGCTTTAGTCAACGACACGTCTTATCTGGTAGTAGTTATAATAAGCTGTAGTAAACTTGTGTAAGCTGCACAATGCCGCCTTGGTATCACAAGCAACGACCAAAATTAAGTTCACGTAGGAAGGATTCTAACGAAACTTTTTCTTGGTAATCTTGGTAATCTCCCTTTACTTCGTGGATCGAGGTTAGAGTTCTGATTTCTATACAATCATACTAGATAGGCGGATCGTGCTGTATACACTCAAGTAGAGGTCGTTCTTCAAAATCCGAAACACAACAGGGACCACAGTTATAGATGTCCGTGGATTGCTTACTCACAAATTTCCAGTGACATCTCTATTACAGATAATCACAGAACAGTCATGGAGTAATTTGGAAACGAGTGCGACGTAATCTGCTTGTTTGCAATTCAAATTGGTAGGATGCCATATTTGTGATAGCATTCAACAGCTTGTTGTACAAGTGTGTCTTAAAAACTTTCACATTATGCGCAGTAGTTGAATATTTTGCTGAAATAAAAGTGGGTATTGTAATCCGATGTCCTTAAGATGTAGCTCGAAATATTGTTTTGCTTAGGGGTTATGTTTGTTTTCCTGCTGAGAATTGAGATGTATTCATCCTCCTGTTTGAGAAAGCCTGATTGGTTGAGAAGGTCGCATTGGAGCCAGTTATCTATTTTTGTCTTTACTGTGAACACAGAACAAAGGACCCTTAGTAAAAGAAAATACGGTATAAATGCTGTCAGTGTGAATATATACAAATTCACATTTATATATTAATATATACAATTTTACAGTTCATTCAGGAATCGGAAAACCAGCCCAAGGTTTTAATGAACGTTAATATAGAACAGAAGGGTATATTCTTTATATCCTAAATACTTATCGTCTCGTCTTCTATTTTACACTCTCTACAGAGGGATGTATTCGCCAGCTTCATGTAGAACATGTGCTTACGTAAACTACAGTGTCCGTCTAGTCAACAAGTGGGTGAGGAGCCTCAAGTCACTTTTTGATCTTGATTTTGTAAAAAGAACGGCAGCAGTTTTGCCAAGGATCCAGAAGAATCATTGCACTTACTAATGGATGTTCATTTTCCAGGCTCTCTGCAAGATTTTTCAACGCCTCCACACCAAGTGGAACTAAACAACTTTTCTATCAGACATGACAGGCAGATAGCCAGCCAGGTTGTACAAAACGAGTTGATAAAGTTGTCCGTTGGTATCTTTCCTGCTCTTTTTCAATGGAGCCTAAAGGATATGAAAACACACTTTATGAGAGCTTTTAGAGCTTGTTTAGCCTTTAACTATGTACCCATCAGCTGGAGGAGGCTTTATACCGAAGAATGGAAAAAAGGACCCAAAGGATCTTTTATAGACACTTGAAAGACTTTGTGATCATTACATTAGAGAAAATCTGTGGATACGACTTTACACATGGCAGTGGGACGCATTGAGCAAGCACTGGATTCGAAGGTGTCTATATTGACATAGAGGGAGCGTTTGACAAAACCATCTTTAAAAGTATTAATCTGGCATTGAAATCATCGCGGGCTGGATAAAGATAAATCTAGCAAGCAGAGTTGTTCTCTGGTGCCTAATTATTAATGATGAGTGAGTTAAATGATAAACATCTCTTCGCAGTCACATGCAGCAGGCGTTTAAACTTGTTGAACGATGGTGATACTCTCTCTGTAAATCCTAAAAAGACTGAGATGAGGAAAGATGAGGAAACTGGAAGACTTAACATCACCCCATTTCTGCAACATCCATTAACCGTTGCTACAGAGGTGAATTATCTTGGACAAAAGACTGACTTGGAAATCACACATTAGTTACAAAACTGAACTGGTTATGAACTGTATTTCTTTTGGTTTATTTTAAATCAATTTTGTGCACAACATTTTTCTTGGTTGTTTTTAGTTCTCTTTTTTTAATTTTGCTACAATTTGAATAATTTTTGTACACAGCATTTCTCTTAATCAGTTTTAGTTCTTGAGTGGTAATAAATTTTTTAGTGTAAACCATCCAATTTCAACATTTTTAAACCTTTTAGCTGTATCCCTAGAAAATAGTGATAGTTAGGTTGGATTTGGTGATAAAATGTGTTTTGTTGGTTCATTATAACCACTCTTTGAGCACAACAGGTTTCTCTTACATTTAGTTCTTGAGTAGTGTTAGATTACTTTTACGTGAACTAATCATCTTGACATTTTGAAGATTTTCGCGTTATTTTCAAAAAGCTGGATAAAGATGGTAGCTAAGCTGAATCTCACTATGGATTATGATTTGTTGTAAAATTTCAAATTGCTTATGAACGTTCTGCATATGCTGTTAGTCTCCAGTTTATTTGACCTTTTCATCACTTTTGACTTTAACTCTATATTTGCTATTTCTTTCCGCTTCCTTATTTGTTAAGGGTTGCTTAATTCAATGCTTTCATGTTATTTTTTTCTTCTTTGGATAGAATTGGTTCTTCTCGGAAGAAGAGGAATTTGGATGGCGCCGGTGTCTGGAGTGGCCCACTGACCCACCGAAGAAGGGGCCGGCGCCGACCGGACTGTCTCCGGGAGGGTCAACGAACGCCTAAATCGAAATCTACGGCCCGCAAGAAGTACAACACACCAAACCGCGTTTTTTTTTACTCGTTAAAAATGTTTCCACTAGATAATCTATTTTATTATCTATTTTTTAATCTGTTTTTCTTATTCAGTTAGAAAGTAACCTTCACGTAACATAAAAAAAAATGATTACAATGTACATTAAAAATCAAATTAAAAAATGAAAATGAAATTTTTTAAATTTATTCTTAATTACATTAATTTCTTAAAAAAAAAAAAAGAAATTTATTTGAAATTTTTGAGCCTAGAAAAGCGGAATTAATTTTATAAAATAGTGAAGACGATAAATCAGTTCCTTTCTCTAACTGGCTAAGATTTGGACAACGGTACAAAACGAAATGTAGGGTACCACCCTGTTACTATGCCGAAAAATGTGGTACGCACGGTCGTGACCAAACCGTTTGGCACGCACTTTTTAAAACCAGTTTTTTTTTTGCGCACGCACCTTCTATGCTACAAGATAAAGATAGAACTATGTTCAGCCTACTTGTTAAAATTAACCAATAGATTTTGATCAATTTCTTTTCTTAAATCTTTCTCCCATTTCTTTTTTAACACTTTAAAACTTCATCAGGTTTTTTAACCGATTCAAAAAATTTAATTAACTTCTTTTAAAATTACAAAATTGTTTTAATTAAAAATCTACTTACCATATCCTTTCATAATTCCATGGGTTAAATAGAGAGGTGCTCTTCCAATTGTAGCTTCTTTAGCGAATAACTTCCTTATTATTTTATGATCAGAAACAACCACTGTATAAACCGATCCTAAAAACAACCCATAAACGCTGCCGAATTTTTTGCTGAGTTGTGTTAAAGTTAAGTGGGGATTTACTGGATCTAACCACGGTAAATATCCAACGACTGGTAATCCAAAGGGTCCTGGGGGAGTATTTTTGGGCTTCTTCCAATAAAATCCTAATAGAATTACGATGAAAGCTACAAGAAAGTAAATCATCTGCAACAAGGGAAAAGAAACGTGTTAACTTTAAAAGTGTTAAAAAAGACTAAGAATTACAAATCTATTTGTGTGTTTCAAATTCCGAATTGTTCAGAATTGGAAATTTTTTTCGAAATGTTTTATGGATTATGGAAAAATTTATTTTAACATTTATGGTCGTCTTGAAACCATTATTTATAATTTTTGCATGAATCAAAAATGTTTTTTTTTTATGTACAGTTGCTCACCAAATTCAGTATAGTTTGTGATGTATATAATATTAACAACAATCTTATTACCTAAATTGAATGCAACACAAATAAAATAATCACAATATTAACAATAATAACAAATGACACGAAATTCACGCCATAAAATTGAGTATACAGTTAAGCAAAAGTGATTAAGTTAAGGTTGGTATTCGCCGTGCCATGGAATCCACTAACTTTTAGCTGTAATTTGGCGAAATTTTTCAAATTTCATTTTTCAATTCGCTTTTGTTTCGGCACTTGCTATTTTTTAACTGAAACTTAACTTCTCCCCATAAATGTCCAATAGGATTCATATCCGGAGACTGTGGTAGTGCTTTTAGTTGTTTTGAAGTATTGTGTAATCATTTCTCCACAAGGTATGATGTATGTTTAGGATCATTGTCTTTTTGGAACCAGAACACAGTTGGAAGGTTGAGTTTTTGAGAGCTTTGACATAAATTACGATTTAAAACATCCAAAAAATTACATTTTGTCATATTTCCCTCAATTAATGCTATAGTTCTAACGCCGCTCTTTGCCATTAATCTCCACAGCATTACTGAACCACCCCCATGTTTAATTGGTTCCACATCAGGTCCCAAATTCTTGTTTTTGAGCACACAATTTGGTTTCCTCCAAACTATTTGCATTCTGAACACCCAAAATTAATTTTAGTCTCATCAGTGAAGCTTGGTTAAAAGAAAAAAGACAACTTTTGTTTTAATTCCTTTGCACTGGTCGATTCCCAAGAATATCTACATTGCCTATAATGAGATAGTATTAAGATAATTTTTTATTATGTATGTATTACACATTGTACAAATATTGCTCACTAGCAATAGCATGTTTGCAGTATGGTGGTGGTCATACGTCTTTTCCTACTTGGGCAGTAGAAACAAAATTTCGTTTCTTGTTGTCAGATTCAGATTCTTCGTCGTTGCCAGAAATATTTAAGATATTATTTATATTTTGGCAGATACTGCGACATAAAGTATTACTATTCAATTTTTCTCTCATCCATGGTTCAGCCAGATTGCGACTCAAATCAATCATATAGATCATATATTAATACCTATTTAATGATTTTTTTATTACAATTTAAACAATTTGTTTTATTATCAGATTCAGTCAATTTTGATTCAATGTTATCTGCCTCCCAGTCACTGTCACTATCTTCAAACAATTCAAGATAGAGTTGCCAGCTCTATTTATGAATGTATTACAAAAAAAACATTAAACGTACAGTGGAAGTACCACTGTGGTACATAACTTATGTAACATAAGGTACATTCATTTTTCCATAAACAAATTACTTACCTTTGAAAATTACCTGCTTATATTTTTGGTTGGTTTTAGCTGCTTTAAGAGCTTAATTGTTTTCTAAAATATATTTATAAAAGTCTTTGCATGACTCATTAAAGTTGGTTTTTATTTGCAATTCTGCCTTCACACTTTGTATATCAAATCTGTTTCGAATCTTGGTCCATCTATTTCCGCACAAGGAAAAGATTCTTTCAGCCTGCGCATTGGAGACTGGGATCGAAAACACAAACTGAAGTAGTTTGACAAAAAAATGGTTTTCATTAATTTCGTCTGTTATTGACTTTAGCATTTTCATTACACACCTTTTCCGCAATTACTTTCGATGTAATTGGTTTGAGCACAGAATACTCCTCATATAATGCATCTAGGTCGACATTTATATTTAGCTGAGACACAATTTTAACTAAGTCTTCGTACTGGATTGGATTCTTCAGTATCAATTTTTTCAAGAAGTAAAAACTATTAGTGTTTTCGTTAAAACCAAATCTTGATTCAAAATTGCGTCTCTGTACCAGGTGAGAAATATGGATTTATATTCTGCTTCAGTATTAGATAATTTTCGAAGTGACTGCTACACATTCATACCAAAGAAAGCATCTTCAAGACGTTGCTTCAGTTTTGGCCTTAACGGTCCATAATTTCGTACACACTGCATATTTGCACCTTCAAGTTGAGCACAGCTTCTTGAAAAATTGTCAGGACATGGTGGTAAAACGCCAAATATAGTTCTGCATCTAACACACTTGAACTTGTGAACTCGTGAACTCGAACCTCGAGATCACTCTCTTCGTCATTCATTATTCGTTGTACTTCTTCATCTATTTCCTTTTACGTCATTGGTTTTTTGAAATACATTTTTCTGTGAAATGTCAAAATTTCAGACACTACGAAAGGAATCGACAACGCAGTCGAATTTGTAAACAATGCCCCTACCATTAGTTAGCTAAACACTGTAGAAGAAAGCAATGAAACACTCAAAGACTTAAATGATGTGAGTAAACGAAATTTTACAAAGTAGGACAAGCGTCGTAAAATTTCTGAATCTAGGGTTAACTGTATGTATACTCAATTTAGTTAATAAGATTGTTGTTAATATATACATAATTATCTATCTTCCATTCCCCAGTATACTCAATTTTGTGAGGAACTGTATGTTAAAGATGATGTTTGAGGCCAGATTTGGGATCGCGTGTACGTGATCGTTTTGCCGGGTCGGTTTGGTCGTCAGTCAGTGGCGTTCGCGAGTCGGCGGCGGTGCGGGGTCAAGTACCGTCAGGGGGCAATGCATCCATTTTTATGGAAATCTAAGGACGACCAGTTCAACGATTCTCGTCCGCAGCCAGACGACGACGACGATGGTCGCAAAAAATCGCGGGGCCCCCTTATTCGAGATCAAAGACTCTTCTTCTCGCAGAACAAACAGCACCGCGCGCCAAGATACCGATCTTCTTTCCCGAAGTCAATGGTTTAACTGTCCGATTGTTCAATGTTGTCAACCTCAACTGAAAAAAAATGTTCAGAAATACAAAAATACTTGAAATTTTCTTTTCCCATTATTATTATTATCTTTTTGATTAATAGGAATAAATTAATTATAAAGGTCAATAACATTTACAAACGATTTATTTGCTTACACATCGAATTCGTAAAGGTCACACCGTCAAAAAACGATTTCTATACATAAATAAATCGATTATAAAAGAATAAATTTTCGCCGGGAGTTCGACGAACTTTTTGCCAATTTTTTCCTTTCCTTTATTAAAAATTTTACACAGCGCAGAAATCGAAGATAAAGAGTGATTGAAAGAAACAAAGATTTTCTTCTGTTGAGATCGGTACTTGCACTTAATCTTTGGGTTTGTTGACCCGCCAGTTGCCTCCTTCCTCCCTTAGGCCGGGTGCACATTTTTCGAACTGTAGGGGGCAAAGAACTGCCGCGAGGCCCAGGGGATCGTTGTCCTACAGCTCCTCCGGAGCGCGAAAAAAAGTCGCAAAAAGAGACCGCAAAAAGACGGGGGGCAACAACGAACGAATGAAGAAGAGGAACAAAACGAAGAACGGACAGACGGGCGGTTAGGGACAAAACCTGTAGCAGCTAGCCTGTCGTTTCTCTTGCTGTGTACGTTCTCTGTGATACCACACGTAAGAATTATCTTAAGAAATCCAGAAAATCGAATTGTATTGGAAAACGAGAAAAGCATCAAGTTTTATTTTGTATCAATATGGTGGATTTTCTAAAATAAAAATTTTAACATAATCATTAAGTTACATACGAGACACATCTTTACAGATTGATTAAACTTATAAAAATCTCATAATAAGAATGAAATATCTTAAATTTATAGGATATTTATGGCATTATGTCGTCCTTTTATTTCAATATGTAAAATAGTTCATGCATCGAATATTGAAATTACTCCGTAACTGGCTTGAAGCTGTGCTTTTAATTAAAGTAAATTTTACACTTTCGCGCTTGCAGCATAAAGCAATATGAAGATACAGTATCACATCAAGCTGTATTTTTAAATCCAGAAAAATATCCGGACATATTTGTAATTTGGATAAAATTGTGTCCAGATGATTGCTATAGAGGAAAAGGAGGTGCATGAAAAGAAGAGTGTGTTGTATCGAAAATTGCTATTCCTTCCTTGAACATGCCTTCTTCGACTTTCATTCAAGGAATATAAAAAGCAACTACAATTTCAACCTCTGCAACTACGTCACGTCTACTATTAGAGGATGATTCTCGAGAGCATCATGTTTCATTACAGCTAGGTATCTATTCTTGCTTATCTACTAATATTTATTCTGCAATAAAGTACATAACTAAGTACGTGTGCTGCTCTCCAGGCGCTGAAAACGGTGTCAGCTCTGGTTAATGACTGTAAAAGAACTTTAAACATACTGAGTTGTAATAACAGAGTCTTTCTGATCTGGGTCCCGGGTCACTCTGGGGTTGCTGGCAATGAAGCGGCAGATGAGCTAGCACGAGAAGGCAGCGCTAAAGCGTTTGTGGGGCCAGAGCCAGCAGTTGGTATATTATTTACGATGGTCAAACATTGGATATGGGCGACACAATGTATGCCACTTGCTTTAACATTTACCTCATCATGTGTAAAAGCTAAGACATTTGCATTGTTCTGTGAAGTTCCATCCGCCTATAACATAATTTTTCCTTTACTTTTGGTATGAGGTACAATTACATGAAAGCTGGGATGAGTATGATAGTTCTAGAGAAAGTGGTCAGAACTACCATTTAAGAACCATTAAGAACTACCAGTACATTTGTACTATCAATGCCGTCAGATTTGACGGGACCACTACCAGTGATTAATGCTCGATACCAGATTGTACTACTTGAACGGCAGTTCCGGATAGAAAACGAAAATTCTTTGGTTCAAACAGATATTTGCATGTTCACAGATGGATCAAAAACGCCGAAAG